TGTACCGGGATATACAATTTTTGAGACTGATTTTCGTCATCAAAGATACTTATTAACAAAAACATATTAATGATTTATGGATTTTTTTTGTACAAGAAAAATAACTACGAGCGTGCAATGTATTTTTCGAAACTATGCGTATATGATATATGTGTGTTTGAGTAGACATATTGTTTAAAATACATAATATTAATGTTTTCTTTGCTGTGGTTCTCGATTCGCTTAACACCATTACAAAAAACATTCTTGGTGAATTTGATCATCACAACAATAATATGTGATATTTTTTTACGATATTGCGTATAGTCGAGTTGATCTTGTTTAACAAACGCTTTTAATGCGCTCCCGCAAAACTTAATAATATTACTGAAATTTACAATTCAATATATATATACATATAATATATATATTATAAACATAACGACCGAGTTTACGCAAATATTCTTCAAAATTAAAACGAGGATTTTATCACACCTACCCACCTACCCACCTTCTGGTTGTAATACCAGCTTCAATTGGGACGGTTATTATATAACTCGGCACATAAAAGTATTTCGCACCCAAAATGTAATATACACGAATTGCTCGTAAAATTCTACCATAATTTATTTCATTTCATTTCCTTACGGGAAACGAAAACAATTTTCTCTCTTGATGCATTTTCCTTATGTTCATTACTCTTTAAGATATTTATGACACAAATGGTTTTTCTCATAAACGTTATGATTTTACGTAAAAATAATGTACGAAAATTGTATCAAAAATAAGAGATAATCCTTATCCATCGAATAACTGCATCTCAAAACTGTTCAAGTATTAATACGCATCAAAAAACATCTTCGATGGAATCGAAATCTGTCAATACATATATCCATTATCCAATCATAGAGATAAAGTTATCTCATATTATGATTATTATAACGCATATAAATCATAGACTTATTGAAATATGAAAAGCATCAACGATTATTTATGTTTAGCATACTTGATATAATATATAGGGTGATTCACCAACCATGCTCTCTTCTATTATCCTTTGATAAAGAATGTATTCAAATTCTGATTTTTAGAATTGCCTAAGTATTCTTAAGGACCTTAATATTATTTTAAATTATTTACCTTTTTATACCATTTAAGGAGTATCGTGTGGTTGTACAAACTTAATTTTCTTCAAATGAAAACGAACCCTTCTTTACTGTAAATTAAATTTTAACTTACTAAGTTACTGTAATTTAATTGTTAAGAAGATAATGTTTCTGAAATGTTTATGTACTTGTCTCAATCAAATTTGAACCAAATTATTAGTGTGAGTTATTAAAATTTGCATAATTTAGTCCAAATGATTGGTTTTATAAAAATGTAAAATAAATAATAATATATGTAAAATTGGGTCCAGTATTTTCTATTCTCAGACAATTTTTATTAAGTATAAAATGTTAGTGGATAATATTATTAATAACTTAAGTTTTCAAATTATCATAGCTCTAATATTCCGTACCCATCAAGAGGACTTATTATAAATTGTTAACTAAGTTAAATGACTTAAAAACTGCTTCTTTAAACTTCTATTTAGATACATTAAAATGTTAATAAAAGCTGTTGAATTCACAATTTACAGAAAAAAAGACGATTCTTCATTCAATAAGAAATTGGTATCGCCAAAAGAAACTCTCTGAATTATATAGAGAGTCTATGGGTACCTTACAAAATTGTCTTTAAGTATACTTTCTTACGAATATTCAAACTAAATAAATAAATTCAAATTAAAGGGATAATAAGAGACCATTATTGGTGGACTTTCTATTTAACGCGCATCATAATGTTAAACAAAGTAAATTGTATCATAAAAAAATATTTTTTTACTTTAATTTCAATACAATACCAACAGTAGCGACATTTGGAGTAAAATCATCAAGAACCATACTTAATATTTTATATTAAATTGCACGTGATCTAACGAAGCCTGGTAGCAGTTGGTGGATGAAATAATAAAATTGTTGGTTTAGCAATTGTTACCTGTTGTAACACCATAATCACGTAGTATCACGTAATATAACAACCAGATAAGTTTGCTCTTATTTAGTTATTAGTAGGTACAATAGGTACATATTATAATAATTCGTTGCTCCCCATACTTATGTATATGTATATATATATATATATATATAAGAAAATGCATTTAATTTTGTAAGGAATATATATATCCTAAAGGTATCAGGTATAGTTTCATCCGCAACTTTTTAAAATGTAGTTCTTTTTAGTTCCTATACTTTTCCAAAACTTTTGTCTAACAGCATTAATGATTTATGTATTTTATTCGAACATTTTTGATTATATAAAGAGTTAAAAAAATTGTCCAGTAGTAGTGTTGTTATATAAAATCCAGGTTTAAAAACAGAAGTACAATTTATATTATGCCTTATAAAACGAGGAAGCTTTATGAAACCAGCTATAAGTTATTAATTTAAATAATAGCGAGCGTAGTGTAGGTGGTTTTCACCTCTGTCACCCCAAAAACGTAAATAAAAATATAAACCGAGCAATAAAAATGCTGATTACAAAAAAAATATATAAATAGAAGTAGAAATCATTTTACGATTCACGGCTATGGGCGGTAAAAGTCCGTTGTCATGAGTCATATAAATAAATTTTAACACGTACTGCCAAATGAGTGTTTCGTGTGTGTATGTGTGTAACATAGGGGAGTGTTAATTTTTTTTTAAGAAATAGATATGCTATATACTCTCGATAGAACTTATACTTTTAAAGTTATTATTATCAACTAAGTATGATTCGGGGAAGCAGCGGTAGTGATGCTGAAGAGCCGAACGAAAGCTTTTTTTCACAAAATCCTAAATATAATATCATATTGTAACATAATAAGTCAAACGCGGAAACGTAACCTAATATACGTATTGGAATCGTAACGAGACGAACGAAAAAATACAAAAAAATACAAAAAAATAACAATACCGCAGAAGTAACATCAGATACCTAATAATATACCGGCGGCAGCAGTGGCGCTTACGTAGTTACGTCACCGCCGCCGGACACGTAATACAATAACACGATATTAATATTATTATTTTACGGTTTTTGGACCCGCGTCGTCCTTGCCGCAGCCATATCACACTACACCCGTTTAACGCGTGATGTAGTGCACGCTCGACCTACGCACCTGACCCGAGGCTCACGAGTATAATTTATACGTCCAATAAATAACGCGTCACCCCTCAGACCACACCCCCGCCGCCTCAAACTTCTACAACCCTTCTTCCACTACACCCTGCTGGCCGTCGACCAACGTTTTCCGTTTCATTTTGCACCGTTTCGCGGACACCGGACCGGAAGCTGGTTATCGGTCTTTGTATTCGTCGTTGTCGTCGTCGTCGTCGTCGTCGTCGTCGCTACCGCTTCCAGTTCGAATGTGATAACGCCGCCGCCACCCCACGTGAGACGAAAATGTGAAATTGTATTGCCACTCCCTCCCCCCCCACACATCACAAAACTCGTATTTATATAAGTCACGCAGTTCTCTGAAAATGATATAATGATTATTATATGACGTTGGCCCGGTTTGGTCGACAGTTGTTTTTAAAAAGAAATAATATACTGCGATGCCTGTTTAAGTGACTCATGAAATACTGGTCACAAAAGTTGCGTCGACTCCATATCAGATGGAGGTGGTTTTACACTATACTGTAATTAACACCGACGGCGGTGTGCTTCAGATAGAGATCGACTTATATATTGTATTTATGCCCAACAAAAAGGGAAGGTCGCGTATAACGTGCCTTCCGTTTTAGATGAACGAAAAACATCAACCCCTACTACGACAAGTATACATACATTCCTCTCAGTTTTCACTATGGTCTGTGTATATCTATTATAAGGTATCGTGGGCAATCTGCAGAGGTTATTATCTCGTTGTTATTATTATTATTATTATTATTTTTTTTTATTCTCTCTCGTCGTTTTCGTGCCGTCTACAGTTCCGTTCAACCTACAGCATGAGTAAGTTCGTGAGTAACACGGAGTAATGTATCACCGGTATGTCCGGGGGTGACATCGGAGACACACGCATAAGTCTATATGTTGTCGGTTAACGAAATTGTGAATTTTTCATTTGATGATTATTACTTTGGCTAGTATTTTTCATATTATTTCTATTCAATGATTAATAACTCTGTGTCTCGATGATCATAACTAAATATTTAATTTCTGTAAATGGTTTTTTATTCTTATTTAATTTTTATATTATATTGTTTACATTTTTTATTAATTCATAACCACGTGTGGTGACACTTGTTTGATCATAAGCAAATCTCCCAATCACCTACACGAGTTGCATATGTTATACAAATTAATATACTCATACATATAATAGTATTTCTCGATATTCTTTGTGTTGTAGGTATTGACTAAATGTATGTGATATCTAAATTGTCCTGTGCTCTCGTGAAGTCTCTGAAGTATTTATATATGATTATACACATAACTTATAAAGAATATATACATAATTAGATCACATAATATGTATATGATTATTTGTTTTATGGCTACATTTTCTGTTTTTTATGTTCCCGAGGTTTTTATGCGGGAAAGTTCTTTTACTATAAACTTCGACTATAAAATACACATTTAATATATTTAAGTAAATTCCCCCACCAATCACATGCATTTAATTTTTTATTTATCCAGCTGACCTAAAACTATTTGATATTTTATGACCTTCCTATCTATTTACCTATAATAAGTAGTATTGATTAAATAGAATAGGTAAGTATCAAACTACATTGCACAAAAACAAATTCCGAATGCTGCGGAATTTTAGGTTCAGGGCTTCAGCTGTAGTTTGGCGAGCCTTGTTAGACGTCAAACGAAACTATACCCAGACCAGAACACATGCAGGATGTCACATATTTATATATTATTATGATATAATATAATGTGTAATGAAAAATTGAATGAGGTTTATTTTAATAACAAAACTCTCTTACCTCAATCCACGTTATCCGAAAACGTACGTATTGAACATGACACTCTCAGAATGTATATGCTGACGTCTATCTGAAACAAAGATTAAAAAAAATCCCGGTTAAATGCATGTTATATTATATTCCGTCAAGACAACGACGTTTGGAATATTTCCACGCAAAACAATACTAGTACAACACTGGAGATAGATTTATGGGGGTTGTGTTGCAGAAGGAATACGTGTCAAAAGTTTTAGGTGTTTGGTGAGTTAGCTACGACGGTGATCGAATGGTGTGAGGTGGAGAGAAAACTAATGCGCACGAGAAGACGACGGGTCGGCCTGTAAACTCGACGGGGTGTAGGATTTTCGAGCTCGATCCGTCGTAGTATAACAAACAGTCCGGCGGACTGCGGTCGGACGTCGAAAGAAGATAAAAACAAAGTCCTTAAGCTCTGAAGGTTAGGACGTTAACTAGTCTTTGCAGCACGGTTATTGGCTCAAGGGCCAGACAACTCGTATACACTACCTACGGAGGTAATGTGCTAACCTAACCTTAGGGGTTGGCGGAGTGGGGTGAGAAGGGTAAAAGTATTCTACTTTCTGGAACAGACCCGAAACGGTGGCCGATATTTTATAATATTATTATTACACTGTAATTATACTGTTCGTGGCTGACTGCCGTAAAATACAACGAGGTAAAATAATAACGATATTGCCCACTCATAAAGTCATAACGATGCATCCGAAAAGCGTGTTCAAACGGTCGTCAGATTAAGAATAATAATAGGTACTCACACTGTAGCAACAAACTTCCATTAAGCCCGAGGAAACATTGCGGTGAAATTTTAAAATGTATTAATGATAATACGTACCTAATAACTAATAACGTTATGAAATATAAAACTCGATAAAGTGAAGTGTGTACCATAAAAACTGTAGAATATTACCATAATATCGGCAGAATGAAAACCGAGTGCCACGCATGAGCACAAATGTGCACAAATATAGGCCGATTTATAGTCATTGTCACTAAATTAGTAACAATAACTTATGTTTGAAAAGTTTGGTTTTTTAATTAAATGATAACGATTATAAAAATTAATGTGTACATAATATTATCTTATTATTATTATAACGTTTTCATTTGAACAATAAAGTTTAATACATCACGCATAATTAGTTAAGAAATGATGTCAATTTAATTTAATTTTAATAACACCCTTAATTTCAGCCTCAGCACCATTTTTCCTTTTTAAAGGCTACTTACAATAATATACATACCTAATACACAAAATGATCCGGTGCTAACATTTTTTTTTCAAAGATTGAAGTTGTTGAGAAGTTTATGTTGATCAGAAATGCGTTGTTATGTATGCTATACCTTTTAGTATGTAAGTCGTGTAAGAAAATGTTTTACCAGTAAACTTTAAAATATGCGCACTTTACACAAAAAAAGAAATTTTTTTAAAACTATATCCGCTGTTGAACCTCTCTACTCTTTTACACCGGGTTCAATTATCCGACGACGGTGTAAGCTTTGCCCTGAATATTTTTTTAAATACCTAATAAAGAAAAGTGTTAAAAGCGAAAATTACTTTTCAACCATGTTAAAAGCGCAGTAACCTTTAAGTATCGTTTAAATAACTTTTATTTTAAGATAAAGGTATAACCACTGTGAAGCTATAAAAATACAATATCAACTGAACATATTTTATGCGAAACCATATACTTTATGTACCTACATAGACTAAATGGTTTTTTTTTTAATTGGGAAAACTTTACTTTTACAACAAAAATCTACAAATTTCTAGTAAGTGCACAACGAAATAATAATTAATATCTAGCATCTAAAGTAATACTTCATCGAACCAAATTAAATTATTTTATATACATGTTCAGTGCAGTGCACCGGACACTCAATTACTATGAATATAGGATATAAATAAGTTTGCGAGTGCTTATGTTTTACAAACATAGTTTTTCACTCCTTCAAATGTTATAGAACAAGAAAATAAAGACAAACATACTTGGAACACACATACACACACACACTCACATATATATATAAATTAAAACAACTATTTTCTGCACATCTCTATGCGTTTTCCAAAAGCATAAAAAAACATAAGACGGAAATTAGTAGATAAGACTTATTATTTAGACATTATGTTCACAGTCCAGGCAGTGGAATAATCAGGGTTTTCAATGGGTTTTGTGGTAGAGCTAAACATAACAAATACTAATTAGGCACCCTGTAACTAACTATTATTTTCATTATAAATAAATATCTTATAATTGTGCCTATAACATGTGCAATAATTTATATAAATAAATGGTATAATATGCTAACCAGTGTTTAATGTTCCATTTAAATGCGTCACAAATGTAAATTAATCATTTTTTTTATAGATAACTACAGTATTATACTTTTATTATCTGTTCCAATCATCGGTCTGTAGGAGGGGTGAAGTGTGTAAACAAATAATTAACGAATCTACTACAGAAATGATTTCTAGTTATAGAGAACATAGTACACTTCACTACTACACCAATACTAGATAATACACTAGTTAACAGCGATGCAGCAAATTGAGTTTCTAGCAAACAGTCTGGTGCGTACCTAACTCACAAGTATAATATCTGTATTATACGATTATTATGTTCATAATATTATATATATATATTATTTATATTAATATATACGGAACTGATGAAAGGACGAAGACGATCAATCGTTTTAATTGCGCATTTCGCACAAGAGTTAAGTCAAAGATGGTTTTGGTTGATTTATACTTAACACAAACTTCTGCTTAAATAGATGAATAATATTAGTTCGTTTTCGTTTAACCGGGCGTATGCACCGGATAAGAAGGTTCGCGTTAATTAACAGTTAACATAGTTAAATGCATTAGACCAATATTTTAAAATGAACATTTTAATGAAATTAGCTTTGGATTCATGAGCGTTTATAGTTCCATAATATATTATAATATATATAAACAAGGTGATTTCTTGAGCATGCTAACCTTATTTGTATGTTTAAATTATACATATATTCAAATTCTTGAGATTTTTCCTACCACTTAAGGATGATCCTGTGACAATACAATCTTTTATTTTTCAAATAAGGACAATAATTTTCAGTTGAATTCGGAGGGGGGAGTGGGAGTGGAAGTTCTCATTTGAAATATAGACATTTGTATCACCACAGGACACTCCAAAGACTAAAAAATGCACAACAAATATCAGGAATTTGAAACTATATGATCTTTAGATATATTTAAAATTTAAATACCTATTTTAAACATCAGAATTTGAATAAATGTGTTATTATAGGAAACAATAATGGCATATTTTAAAAATCACCCTTTTCGTGTATACTCTATGTCTATACAAATATTGTTGTATCGGTATTTGCAGACGACATCTTCACGAAGAATAATGAAGCATCTGTTTTGAGTCAACGTGGATAAAATATTATTTCTTGGAAAAAAATCTTTTTTATTACATTTTTCTTATTTCATATATTTATCTATTAGTGTTTTAAACAAAGGTTTATGATTTAGCTGCGCCGAATAATGCTTTTCCCAGACATTGGAAAATATTATGGAAATGTTACTCGACTGGATCGTGAGTATAATAATAATGTTTTTATGACTCATCGCGTTCAATTTTTGAAACTATTGTATACAATTGTTCAGAAACTATGTGCGCTAACTAAAATAAATAAATACTCAAGTGATTGAGCAGTGAGTCCATGCACCAAACTTAAAAAACCACACCAGTTCGGATTTCATGCGTATCCGCAAACTTTATATATTATACATATGTATATGTACGTCTGTGCATTTAACTCTGGATATAAACTGGAAACAAAAAGAAATCTAAACTTGTAACATGTATTTGGTCTATGTGTTAAATGTCTTTAATATAACTATGAAACAAACCTAGAAAAACAGTGACATAGAAACTTCCATACTGACAATATAATACTTTACTTTTATATTTTTCTCGACACATTTATATATGCTCCATGTATGATTATTTTATATTCCGGAAATGTTGGGGTCATAGTGCTATACATATAAAAAAAAAAGATTTACTTTTTCGTGGGATTTGGAGATTTTTAATATTTATAACTTAAATTTAATATTTTAATAAATTCTTGTTCAATTACATATTTACATAACTGTATTATTTATCTGCATTTAGTTGAAAAAATATAATAAGCGTTGTATCATTATGACGTTAGAATATTATCTTATTCTTAGAAATATTATATTTTAGAATATTTTTTTTTTTGAAACTCTAATCGTCCGATATATTATAGCGTCTTATAAATTCTACTTTTATTTTAGAATCGTATAGATTGCATTCACGTATTGATTAAATTAATATTTTCAGCAACAGTATTAAAAGGGGAAAAATAATTTCATTTTTAAAATACCAAAATGTTTTGCTTTTGCACAGGAAATTTATATTTATCCAAATTTAAACTAAAGGTCTACAAGTTATTTATAATGTTCAATTATAATTTAATATTTGCATCGAGTTGTGAAAGAGTGTAAATTGTGTATCTACTTTAAGATAATTTTAACTTCATTACTTTCACAGTTTAAACTTTAGACAATTTATTATAACTTAATAAACTAGGAGTAATTTATTGTAGAGATTAAAATATGAACGCGTATTATTAACTTTTTTTTTACTATTTTTGGCGGTTCAAAAATATTAGTTATTATTTAAAACCGAAATATCGTGTAAGTATCACAAATTAAAGTCAAGGGATAAACACATTTTTCATTTTCATAAATATATTTGTGTTGTTTAACGCCATCACAAACATATCTTAGACTAGCTATATTTCCATTGTTAAGAACGGTTTTGTGTGTTTCGTGCAAATCAACTATTATTTTTTTATTATAATCACATTAAGGTGAGGTACAATTTAAAAATCTGCATCCGATTTTTGCTTTGGATAGTGTATCTGTGTATTATTGAATTAATGAATATTTAACGCACACAAAAAGCTTATATTATTAACATAAAAAACAACTGTGCAAAATTGTAAATTTTAACCCTAAGTAA